ATTTTGTAGTTTAAGTTAGTAACAATTAAACTATGTTGAGTTATTTTAAATATATGCATCCAAAATATTTTTATTAAATTTCTAATTTGGACAATTTTATTTGATGAATTGTTGTGTCCCAAACCGTAGTACAACCACATGTATGATCATTTAAATTGACAGCGTTTTAATTGGCTAATCAAAATAAATTTTTTTTTTTATGATTTTAATATATTCGCATAAAATTTTTTTAATAAATTTATGCACTTTATTTAGCCTTTAAAATGTCTACTTATCCTGTCTCTAACGTTATTACACTTAATCAAAATAATACTCGATATACTTACACAATTATTAAAGAAGGATATTATCCTCAAAATGGTATACTTCAGTATATTTCTGCTCGTTCTTGTAATAACACACAGTTTAAGATCCCAGATAATTATTTAATACGAACAAGCTGGGGTAGAGGTGCTTCTAAACATGTAATACAATGTGAAATTAATTATATAGAAGAAGTATCAGTCTTTAAAATTTTATTTGGAGAAAATTTTCAATTATGTGTAAAATCTACTCAATCAGCAATAAGTGCTGCAAATGCATATTTGCAAGTAAGTTGTGATAAATAAAGTTTGGCATTTCTTGTATATATTAAATTAATATCAAATTTTAAATAGATGAAGAAACTTAATACTCAAGCTCGTTTTTGGAATTCATGTATTTTTTCTTAATAGTCAAGAATTGGAAAGAGAGCGTGAAAGAAAACATAGATCTTATCTTCTTAAACCTTTTAATAAGCTAAGTAATTCTATGAAAACTAAAAGAGTTTATATGTTTAATAAACACTTGGCTGTCAATTTTACAAATACGGCAACTAAATATTTTCATTCTGATGATCATTTAACACTTCAAGAAATTTGCTTTGCTGTTCAAAATAAAAATTTTCAAGCTAATTTTGGAGTTCAAAATAAAGAAAAAGAGAATCAACGAAATGAAGCATTCATTAAAGTAATAGATCAGGGACCTATTGCACGAGATTCATATCGAAATCTTGCAGCATTGGAGCCAGAGTTACTACGTGAAACAACTATATATAAAACAAAAAAAAGAATAAATGAGGAAATGAATAATGCAATACCCATATCAATTTTGAATGTAACAGACCAACCGTCTTTTACTCCTATTGATGAAAATCCAGATATTAATGATCCAGAGGTTGTAGAAGAAGTTTTAAAATATATAGGTAAAGCTGGATATTGCAAAATTACAGATATTTTGCTTTTTGTACATCCAGATCTTATAGAACGATATGTTATTAATCAAGATAATCCAGTTATTAATCTGCGTATTTCTGGAGATGGTAGGAACGTAGGTAGAAAGGTCAAACACATAATCATCACATGTACAATTTTAGATGATATTGTGAATATATACAAAGCTGAACATCATTACACAATTATTCTATTTTCAGGGAATGAGAATTATATACTATTACAAAAAATGATAACACCGATTGCTCATGAATTAAATGATTTAGTTTTGAATGGATTGAAAGATTTAAATGGTACAGTATGGAAAATCAATCCATATTTTAGTAGTGACTGGAAATTTATGGCGATTGTACTTGGCTTTAATGCTCCTAACTCAAAGTATTTTTGTCCATGATGTCTTTGTACAAAAGAAAATATTGGGAACAGGCAAAAAGTATGTATTATTGAAAAAAATATGCATCAACTCAAGCCAGCTTTTTTTAATAATAATTCAACAGTAAAACTACCACCAGGTCATACTAAACCTCCTTTGCTTCAAATAATTTCCCTGGATCACTATGTTCCAGACGAATTACATATAATGTTGAGAATATGGGGTCGGTTATGGGATTTAGCAATTCAAGAACTCAAAATAAAAAATCAATTTAATGAATTAACAAGAACAAAAATAATTGCAGAAATGAATAGAATTAAAATCTCATTTGGTTTCTGGCAGGAACAGGGAACACAAAACTGGTCCTATACTTCGCTAATAGGAGGTAACAAAGAAATTGTATTAAAAAATTTCAATTTTGGAGTTGTTTTTAATGAGGAGCATGCATTTTTGATTAATCGTTTATGGCGAGATTTTTATCAACTCTATATTAATATGAAATCTAATAAGACCAATCCGTCTCAATTTGCAAATCAAACAAAAGAATGGTTGGATTTATTTCTTACTCCTTCCCAAGGAGAGCCTAATACTATTAACTTTAAGATGGGTTATATCGTCCAAAAGATGTAATGCCGTATATGCACGTTTTAGTCAATCATTTACCTGAATTTGTGGAATGGCATCAGAAATTTGGATTAGGTGCTTTTTCTTGTAGTCCAGTGGAGAAGAAAAATCATGATCAAGTTTCTGCATTTTTTCGAAAAACAATGAAAGATGGTGGAAAAGGCATGGAGCCATTTTCAAAATTTTACATTATGAAAATAGATCATTGTATTTTGCTTAAAAGTGTACCATAGATAAATACCCCAAACCACAACATATTCACGTTAAAAAAAAATTAAAAAATTAAAAATCCGTGTATATACAAACTGTTTTATTTATGTAAATTGTAAATATGATACATAATAAATTCTACAAATTTTTGTTAATATTTTCTATAAGTATATATATTTATATTTGTTGTGCACAAAATCTTAAACTAATATATCCTGCTGATGTTCTATTTTTTTTTGCATCTTCCCTACTTTTCTTATATTTCCACTCAACTGTTAATTTAGGTAAATTAAATCTTTTTAACCTATTTTTTGGAATCCAATTACCAACTTGATTAAAGAGACTTTCTTGATTAGCGTCTGATTCAGCTAGTGCATCAAATAATACAACAAAAGTTTGTTGATTATTATCAAAAAATTTACGCCCCCAATTTGGATTATCAAATAAATTAGCTATTTGTGTATATGCGTCTGGACCTTGGAAATAACACTTATAACTACCAGTCCGAACGCTATAATAATGAATATAACCTTCAAATACTCCAAAAAATAAGCTTTCCAGACAAGGTAAATAAATAGTTTGTTTACCCGACTGAGAAAAATGTCCTTTTAGTTTACCTTGAATAATATGAACAAGCTGTGCCTTGAACTCTTTTATTGCCTCCAGAGGTAATTCGTACAATCCTTCGCGCCTTGTATTGTATTTTTGTACAATAGTGTTATGACGCGTTAATCCAGACTGACTTTTGAATGAAGTCTTACAAATATTACATTCGTGTTGTAAAGTGGAAGCAGTGGTTGGTGAAGGAGGTGGAGTGAGAGTAGAATTTGTTTGGTAAAAACTTTGAGAAAAGAAATTAACAAACGTGTACATGTTTTTGCGAAAATAATAAAAATTTATATAAAAAAAACAGTAATAAAACTTAACAATTTCAATATTCTTACTTGTCAAAAACACTTAGCCAAAGGTTTGAACGATTGGTTTGACGTTGTAACACGACATTTTTATTTCATGGATTTAAATTCAAATTTCTAATATTGTAAAACAATATAACTTTTACGTGTAATAAATATTTAAAAAAAAAAAAAAAAAAAAAAAAAAAAATTTTTTTTCTTGTGTGTTCGCATCAGCTGCGCAAATCACGGGTGCAGAAATCATCTGATCAGTGACCTTAAAAGGCCCAATTATTACAATACGCTCATATGGCCCGAAATGTGTTATCCGGTTTCCTAAATCATTGAATCATTGGATGATGCGCAATCTCGTGAAACGTACAACTATAAAATCAGGAGCATGCGCTGATCGCTGTCACGCTTTAGTGAAGTAAAAATTATAACGCGTAACCCGTCGCAAATACCACCACTTAAAATGGGTGACCCACAAACATACTTTGAAGAACACGCAACCTGGTCGTTGATTTCTTTCTTGCAATACAGACGACAGTATGCAAAAGATTTCACAAGAGATAAACTTAAAGAGCATAGGAAATATACGAAAGAACTTGATAAAATTATTTCAAATAATGAATCAAAGGAGAAATGTGATCAAGCTCAAAAATGTCTTAACGACTTTGATGTACGTGTTTTTATATAAATATTTATCAATTAACTAAGATAGAAGCCCTGAGTAGCTGGCTGACTGCGTCTCGGCCAGTGATAGTGAATCGCGCCTTCCCTCGGGGAATAGACTGCGCCTCTATTTCTATGTTGCAACTAGGAACTGCGTCTTTCTGGTTGTTAGACTGCGTCTCGTTTCATGGAATATATCTCCTATTCCTTTGATTATAATGATAAGTTTTGGTTATTTGATTAGACTCATATATTCTCTGTTTTATAAGGACGAGAAATCATCTCCAGACGTAGAAGCTTTTTGGATATCGGACACGATATATCTTACCAAGGTGAACAGATTACTATCTATAGATTCTTATTTTAACGAGAAATTGACTTAACCATACTTAATAGTTAAACTATGCAAAATCTGCGTTGGATAAAACCGTCGAAGAAGCAAAGGAAATACGAACAATTGTGTCTGATGAAACGATATCCATACTAAGAGACGGTGTAAGTTATTCTGTGAGAGTATATGTGCATTTTTTTTTAACCTTGTTGTTTATCCATAATGAATTACTGTGCAATTTTGGTACTAGAACACTGTTCCGCATGTTAAGACTCCTGAATCGAAGCGAGCGCCAGATAGTGATAGTGAAAGCAACGAAAAGGTTAGTATAAATGTAACACAGATAATGTATTATACAAAGGTTTATGTGTATATTAATTTTATATATTTCACAAGCCAGGAAAGCGCACAAAGACCGAAGATGATGAGTATCATGATGATGATGAATCAGAGCGAGCGCCAGATAGTGATAGTGAAAGCAACGAAAAGGTTAGTATAAATGTAACA